CCATTTTCTCCAGGGGAGCTGATCTCTGTTGGCTGGGGATCAGTGGTAAAAGCGGGGGATCCCCAGGCCCCACCTGGAGGTTGGCAACCCTACTGGCCCATCCTGCCCAGGACTGAGGACTGCAGCTGCCTCTGTCCCTCCAAGGTCTCAGGCAGAGAGGGGCATTTCCAAGCCTCCTGGCAGTTACCTGGGTGAGTCAGATGGATGCCGTCTGTAGCTGTTGTTTAAAATGGTTCCCCATAAGGGTAACTGAGCTGTAGTTCCAGACAGGGGCCTGCAGGGGTAACCCTCACTGGGTTGAATGGGGCTTCCTCATCTGCCTGCCTACATTTCCCAGAAGCCTCAGGGGAAAAGTGTGGGAAAGTATGGACCCACCCCAGGGGCGGAGCCAGGCAAATAAAGGCTTTGACCCCTTGGCTCAGCTTGGATGGCAGCTTCAAGGGAGCACAGGTGGGGCTCCTGCTACTTCACACTCCGTGGGCAATCCAGGCCACTATAAATCGTGGTGGAGAGCCAGGAGGGTGGCAGGATGACCAGTCCTGAGGAGGGCTGGAATTTCTCTCCACAACAAGAAGGAGGGGGAAAGCAAATCCCATCCTGAGGCCACAACCTCGAGTTAGAGAGGGTGTGTGTAGGGACAGAGGAATTGCAATATTTTTTAACATATATTTTTATTAGTTTTTTTCTTTTTAGACTTTTACAGTGCCTGTAATTCAATTTCTTACAATTTCCTCCCCTTCCCCTTCCTCCTCCCTTCCCTTTTTTCTTGTTGTCTTTAGTCTTTTGACCCCAGCCATGGGCACAAAGTCTGAATCTTCCCCTGAATGTCTTTTCTTCCTTCCTTTGATATCCATTCCAAATAGGTCGTCCATCTATTCCGAACTTCTGCAGGTTTTTCTTCCCATGTTGTCTCTTTGCGTATAGTTGCCACGATGTCTGACTGTATAAACTCAAACAAATAGTTGTGCCCGATTTCAACTGTCCATCTACTTTTGTCTTTCCAACCCAATGCTATAACTGCTTTACCCGCCGATATCATAGCCTTAACTAAGGTTTGATCCTTCTTATCCACTATAGGGCTTCCCATTGTACTTATCAACATTAAGTTGAGGTCTATGTTTAGTGTTATTTTACTTACTTTCCTTATAGCTTTAGTAAAGAAGAATTGCGATTTAATCCTGTTTATTTTTTGCACCCAGTTGTGTTGGAGTGCCTGTGTTAATTTCTGTGCCTAACTTGTATAAAGTTCAAATAACCCTTTTTGAGTTATTAGATTGAGTAGCACTGTTCCCTCTAAGCTGAGTTAGTGTGAGCTAGCTCACAGTTTTTTAGCCTCCGGCTCACACATTTTTGTTTTAGCTCAGGAAGGATGGCTACAGAGCAAACCAATTTAATGCAGTAGTCAAATGGCTCGCTCACAACTTTAATGCCAGTAGCTCACAAAGTAGAATTTTTGCTCATATGACTCTACAGCTTAGAGGGAACATTGTTGAGTAGTGCCTTGACCACCTAGTCTTCCCCGCTCAACACGTTACCAGAGACAAAGGGAGGCCAGGAAACACAAACGGGCCCAAATAAGAGGGGTTGCCAACTCTCCAGGGGGCGCCCAAAGATTGAGGTACCCACTTCCCAGGGTTGGGGAATCAGCCAGAGGGGTCTCACTGTCCCTCTAGGAAGGCAATGTGTATCTAGTGAGTGGTGGCAGCAACTAACCAAGGGAAATAGCCCCACCAGGCAGGGTGGTCAGGCGAAAACGGGCTTGTGAGCCACAGAACGGCTGCCCAGTCTCCCAGGGCTGAGGGTGGGTCCCCGTTTCGCCACACAGGGCTAGAAAGTCCCGGGCTCAATCTCTGGCACATGAAGTCAAGAGGAGTCCTGAAAACAGGCCCCCAAAAGGCCTCGGCCTGAAATCTTGGCAAATTGCTGCTTAGCAGAGCTCATAGTGCGGTGTTTGATGGAGACAGTCTGGCTTCTACCCACTCGCGAGTTGGCCTCAGCCAAACTGTTAACACCCCACCCCCAAAATTCTCCATCTGTATTATGAGGACAGTAATGGTGGCCTACCCTGCAGGGTTCTTAAAGAACTGCAATATGATCCATACAAGGCATGATGAACTCTCAAAAGTACCTCATAAATGGGCATATATCACAACATGCCTCAGTGTGTCGGCCCTCTCACTTGAATCTGACACGGAGAAGAAGAAGAAGAAGAGGAGGAGATTGGATTTATACCCCGCCCTTCACTACCCAAAGGTGTCTCAGAGCGGCTTACAAATTCCTTTCCCTCCCCCTCCCCACAACAGACACCCTGTAAGGTAGGTGGGGCTGAGAGAGCTCTTGACAGAAACTGTTCTTGAAAAAAATATGATCCATACAAGGCATGATGAACTCTCAAAAGAGTTCTTTTTTAAGAACAGCTCTTATCAGAACTATAATTTGCCCAAAGTCATCCAGCCAGGTGCAAGTGGAGGAGTGGGGAATCAAACCCAGTTCTCAAAGATTAGAGTCCACGCACTTAACCACTACACCAAACTGGCCACCAGATCAGGGCTCCCCCCTCTGGAAAAAGATTTTAGAAAATGGCTGGCCAGAAAACCCAAAGGTGGAACATCCAGGGCATTTCCCCCACTAACTCTTTCCTGCTTCACCCACAGCAAAAATAACAGAAGAAATATGTCCCTTGAGCAGGCTTTAAGGGGATTCTTACCCAGAGAGACCACCATCCCATAATTCTCCAGCATGTCTTCCCTGTACAGTGTTCTCTGGCACTGATCCAGCAAGGCCCATTCCTCCACTGTGAAGTACACGGCCACCTCATTCAGCCTTCATTCAGTGAAAATCCATGAAATTTATCAAGCCCCCCCCAACCCCTTAGAAATATTAAACCTGAAGAGAAAATATCCATTAACGGAAGCATTTAAAAACTGAAAAAAGAGAACATTTTTATCTGCCTTCTGAAGATGTAATGATTTCTTGGCTGTTGGATCTCCCTGGGGAAAGCGGTGAGGATCTCCCTGGGTAAAGAGTTGAAGGTCATACAAAGGGGCAGGCCTCTTATATCCTCCCAGAAACAATACCCAGAGAGGATTGTTATTTACTGTTCTTTGTCTAGAGAGCAAAGAAAGAAAGAGAGAAGAACTGGATTTCAGCATGCATGTTCTCTCACAGAGTACTTATCTGGTTGCAATCCTCAGAGCCCTTTCATACCTGTAAAAGGGCCATTCGCTAACAAAGCTGAAAGTAATTTACCTTCCTTGGGTAGTTATATGGCTTCACTCACTCAAATTAATATCAGTCAAAGGCTGTCTTCCCAAAGTAGCTCTTACCAGTCTGAGCAGCAATATGGTTTCCTCCCTGTGTGGATTCTGTGATGACTAAGGCTTTTTCCATGAGGTTTTTTTTTATGCCTGGAGGGTTTTTTGCCACCTTCTGGACATGGAGCAAGGGTCCCTGGGGGGTGGGGGGAGGTATTTGTGAATTACCTGCATCTGGGAGGGGGCTGGAATAGATGACCCTAGCGGTCCCAACTCTATGATTTCATGAGGGAAGCTATTTCCACACTCTGATATTTCTTCCCCATGAAGTTTCTGAGACAATGTCTAATCCCCAACTCTGACCACTCCTATAGATACAGAAAAGGGCAACTAAAAGGATTAAGGGGATGGAACACCTTCCCTATGAAGAAAGGTTAAACAAGGTTAGGGCTCTTTGCCTTGGAGAAATGATGACTGAGGGGTGACATGATAGAGGTTTACTAAATTATGCATGGGAGAGAGAAGGTAGAGAAAGAAGAACACAAGAACTCATGGGCACTCAATGAAATTAAGAAGCAGTACACTTATAACAGATGAAAGGATTTTTTTCACCCAAAGAGTAATGAATCCACTGCCATAGGAAATGGTGGCAACTACAAGCAGAGACAGCTTCAAGAGGGGACTGGATAAACATCTGGAGCAAAGGTCCATCAGTGTCTATTAGCCACAAGGTATAGATGGAACAACCTTTCTGGGGCAAGTGATGCTCTGTATTCTTGGAGATTGGGGGGGCAACAGTGGGAGCGCTTCTAGAGTTCTGGCCCCATAAGAACATAACAGAAGCCAAATGTTGGATCAGGCCAATGGCCCACCCAGTCCAACACTCTGTGTGCGTTCAGATGGGGCATTTATGCTGGTATAGATGCTGGTTGGAATCGGTATACTTATGGGCGATCACACGGCGAACATCTGCCTTCTGTCTTAAACTGTTGTATTCTGCTACTAGGTCCCCAAGTGGGGGTATCCTGAGTGCACCGGTTCCAGCCGCATTATCCCCATCTGATCGCTCTCCGCCGGTGTCTAGCCACTTTCGCTGGGAAGCCCAAGGCCGAAACGGCGCGTCTGAACGCACCCTCTGTGTCACACAGTGGCCAAAAAAAAAAAACAGGGGCCATCAGGAGGTCCAGCAGTGGGGCCAGGTGGACCTCCTGTTGGCATCCGGGTTTTGGCCACTGTGTGATGCAGAGTGTTGGACTGGATGGACCACTGGTCTGATCCAACATGGCTTCTCTTATGTTTTGATTCTTCAGACCACAAAGAACTACACTCAAATAAAAAGGGAGATATAAGCTTTGATAAAAGGTTGGTAGCATATACAATGTGCTCTCCCTAAAGGTCTCTGATTTGGGAACCTGCTAGACCAAGGCTGTTATTATTTCTGAGATAAACTGAAATAACTTTTTCCAAGACATTGTACTAGACAGACAAGACGACAAATGGAGATAAAGAACAAAGATTTATTTAACAGAAAATAAAGTATTTAAAAGGGTAAATGTTACTTTCCATGGAAAGAACTCTGAATAAGGTGTACAATGCAATGAAAATACTTCCCACATTTTGAGTGTTTGTTTGGTCAATGACCGACATTCATGTCTAAAGCATAGTGGGAAGACTGATAGAATCCCTACACTATGTGGAGTGATTTGTGTAAAATCAGTGTGTCACTCTGAGTGAAGCTCTTTCCACGTGCTCAGTATTGAGATGGTTTCTCCTCTGTGTGTTCTTTGATGATAAGTAAGAGAGCAACTCTGACTGAAGCTTTTTCCACACTCTGAGCACTGATATGGTTTCTTTCCAGAATGGATTCTTTGATGGGAAGTGAGGGAGCCACTGTGACTGAAGCTTTTTCCACACTCTAAGCACTGATATGGTTTCTCTCCTGTATGGATTCTTTGATGGGAAATGAGGGGGCCACTCTGACTGAAGCTCTTTCCACACTCTGAGCACTCATACGGTTTCTCTCCTGTATGGATTCTTTGATGACAAGTGAGGGCAGAACTGTGACTGAAATGCTTTCCACACTCTGAGCACTGATATGGTTTCTCTCCTGTATGGATTCTTTGATGCGAAGTGAGGGTGCCACTCTCACGGAAACTCTTTCCACATGCTGAGCATTTATATGGTTTCTCTCCTGTATGGATTCTTCGATGCAAAGTGAGGGCGCAACTGTGACTGAAATACTTTCCACACTCTGAGCACTGATATGGTTTCTCTCCTGTATGGATTCTTTGATGCGAAGTGAGGGAGTCACTCCTATGGAAACTCCTTCCACACTCTGAGCACTGATATGGTTTCTCTCCTGTATGGATTCTTCGATGCAAAGTGAGGGCGCAACTGTGACTGAAATACTTTCCACACTCTGAGCACTGATATGGTTTCTCTCCTGTATGGATTCTTTGATGCGAAGTGAGAGAGTCACTTCTATGGAAACTCCTTCCACACTCTGAGCACTGATATGGTTTCTCTCCTGTATGGATTCTTTGATGGGAAGTGAGGTGTGATCTCCGAATGAAGCGCTTTCCACACTCAGAACATTGATATGGTTTCTCTCCAGTGTGGATTCTTTGATGGGAAGTGAGGTTGCCAGTGTGACTAAAGCTCCTTCCACACTCTGAACACTGATATGGTTTCTCTCCTGTGTGGACTCTTTGATGGGAAATAAGGTATGAACTCGTACTGAAGCTCTTTCCACATTCCAGGCATTGATAACATTTTTGTCCTCTGTCAATGTTTTGATGTCCATGAAGACTGAAATGATTCCCGCACATAGTACTTTTTCTCCTCTGCTTTCCATTGCAGAGTTTGACTTGACTTTCCGTTTTCCAATCTCGTAGAGCTCTGGATGGATCTCCCTTCATCTGTGTCCACTTTCCCTCGAGCATCCTTTCGCCATCCTCACTGCCCAACTGTGCTGTTTCTGTGACATCCTCAAGTGACATCCTTAAATGTTCCCCCTCAGTCTCGGTCCCCCAAATATCACCTGAAGGAATGAAAAGAGCTTAATGAATTGATGGGAAGGAAGAGGCTACCTTTCTCTTCAGGAAAGAAAATGGATTTGTTATTATAGGGAATACCAGCATTTCTTCTTAAAGTAATTGTTTACGTCTGCTTCCAAACAATATGGTGGAGGCAGTTCTGAGAGGGACAGATGTGAACTAGGGCTGCTTTTACTGGTCCATACAGAATAGCAGTTAGCTGCAAAGGTGTTAGGAATTCATCCCCAAACTGTACTGTATGTCAGCATAAATGCAAAGTTTTAATCGTTGTTGTTTTCTATTGTTGGTTTCTACTTTTGGTCATTTTCCTACAAAAAATGCTGAGTACAGACAACATGAGAAAGAGGTGACCGAATTAGTTTCTCCTGAAAACATCCATCTGCAGAAGTTGTCTGCTGCATGTCTTTGTGACTGTGGAATCTGTGGAATCTTCTGATCATCCTTTCTGTAGCAATATTTTGATTCTATCATATCTTTTCTTGATGATCATGCATGTTTTCCTGTAGGCAGAGGGGTTCCCACAAAGCACCTAAGCACTGACCTGCTGACTGGGGGTCTTCTGTGGAGCTCCGGAGAAAGAGGACGTCTTCTTGGAGCCAGGAGATGAGGGGAGGCGTGGAACCCCAGCGTCCTTCTGGAAACAAAAAGAGATAAGGATATGAGACTGCCCGAGTCAGACCACTGGCGCATCCTGCCCAGCACTGAGCACTCTAAATGCCTCGGGATCTCCACGGTCTCAGGTAGAGAGCAGCATTTTCACACCATCCGCTTTCAGACCCTTCTTTGCTAAAGATGCTGAGGATGGATTTGGGGAAACTTCTTCATGCAAACCAGCTGCTCCGCCCCCAAGCTCCAGTCCCTTCCCATGAACACCATTTATTTCTTGGAATCTGGATTAGAACATTATTCAGGAAATCCAAACCTTCTTGTCTGCAACGCAGTCTAGATGGCATCACTCTGATGTTTATGCAGGTCAAATGGTAAGGATGCAGGACTAAAAAGTCCCGGGTTCAATCCCTGGCATATCTAGCTAAGAGGAGTCCAGAAAGCAGGACCAAGGAAGGCCTTGGCCCAGACCTGTAGCCGTGGTGGGGCATTTGTGGGTGACGACCCACCACAAACCTTCCCTGCCGCACCACGAATCTTAGTTGACCATTTTATTTTCGATGGGCTCCTCCTCCACTACTCAACGTGCAGCCTCGCCTGGTGTTCCTGCTACCACAGGAAGATTTGGACAGTGCAGAACAGGAGCAAGAATTAAAACAGTCAGGGAAGACTTGGAGTGGGGCAGCGCTTGGGGGAGGAATTGGCTTCCAGAACACGCAAGTGGGCAGGTCCGCGGGCTCCTCTGGCTTGGACATCCTCACCCAGGGAGGAAGAGGGGCTTTGAGAGAAGCCAGCTGTGGAATCAGGAATTAATTTAGTCTTAACAGAGCAAATTTAATTATTCCGCTAATTAAATGCACTCTGTTAATTAAGTTACTGATTGACCTTTCCATGAGAACCTGCCTCCCAAATGATAGGTGGAGAGCCGCGGGTGATGACATAATCTTCTGGAGACTTCTCTTGAGAACATGCTCTAACTGGATGGATGTTATCTTCACCTGGTGCTGCCGGGCCAAAAACTGTATTGCAGCCAAGGGTCCAGAGTGGAAAGAAGCTGGCTGAGATCCTGATGGAGAGTGGCCTGAACAGTGTCCTGCTTGAACTGCAATTGCTAGCAGCCTACATGGTGCCTGAACCGTGAAAGGTGAAAGCCTTTGATTCTGAAATTTCAGGTTTCTGTCATCTAATGCAAGCCCTGAAAGCGTTACGCAGTGGAGCTAGCTTTCTTGTTTTCTTACTGCATGAGTAAATCCCCTTCTTGTCAGAAATTGAAATAAACATGATATATATTTTTTTAAAGTAATCAACGGTCTGGTTGCTTGTGTGCAGCTGCCCTTGGGAACCCAGGGGATTTAGGTTTGAGCTCCTTGACCACTAGATATTGGGTATCATATCATTCTGCCACCCTTTCCCTGCTCACCCTCTACCTGTTGACACTAAGTAATGTGTAAGGCAAGGCCTCGTTCTTGCCTCCCCACAAAGGTTAACATGGGCAGTCAGAGGCCTGGTCTTCCTTGCAGGGGCTGCTCCTTAGTCCCTCGGCCTGCCTGGCGCCTGATCATCTCCAAGGCCGGGGGGGAAGAGGGGTAGCCAGCTTCCCAGGAGAGTGGGTTGTCAGCAATGGGGGGGGGGAGACCATGAGCAGTGATGCAGTTTTCTAGAGATTTCTCCTGGAGACATGTTGGGATTGGGAGGGGCTACCCAAATCACCACCTGTGGGCCCCCCCCCCCACTAGAATTGCCATATGTTTCCAGACCACGCTGAATAGAGGCCTTCATTTGGATATAAGTTTTGGTGCTGCCTGACAAGATTTCTAAAGAGCGTTAGGCAGGTGATTGTTTGCTGTTTGACCTTATTTAATCTGTTCGCTATATGTGCATTGTCTAATTTTTCAATAAACTCTACGAATATCTTTTAAAGAGCATCAGTTTGGTTATTTGTGTGCACTTGCCTTGAGAACCCACAAGGCCCGCCTGTTGACTCCTTGACCTGATGTCTCAGAGTATACATGGGCAGGTATGAGAGAACATCAGGATCAGTTATCAACATCTGTCGCACTGATCTCTGATGCACTGAGCAGCCACTGTCAACCCTGCAACCAAGATGAACAAGGCTACAGTGAAAACAACAGATCTACTAAAAGACTGTAAAATCTTCCAATCCTCAAATACTCCACAGAGAAGAAGAAACAGAAGCTATGAAAATACTACCATAAAAATGAAATACAGAGGACAAGCCGAAATACCCTCCACCTATAAGGAAGAGAGACACAGAAAAATGACTTTATTGAAAAAAAGGTATTTTCAAAAAAAGAAAATAATAAAAACTCTTGAATATCGTGGATCTAGAGGACTCTGGTTTATGTGTAATTCACTAAGATGGGCTAGGAAAAACTGTACTGGCAATGAAATAACATTGGTGACAACTGAATTTTATGTTTCTATAAAATTATAGCCCATAATTAACCCCTGTTTTGGTGTAACTGATTAAGATGGGCAAGGAGAAATTGTATTGACAATGAATTAACATTGGTTATAATTGAAATTTTATTTCTCTTTCTTTTTATATGCATGTATAAAATTATAACCCCCCCAAAAAATTAGGGAATATTTTTAGAGTTGTAGGAAGTTTTATAAACAGAAAATAATATAAAATATTAGAGAATAAGCTGTAAAAAGGTTATTTAGATTATATATGTGAGAAGGATATCTAGGGAAGGATAATGACAGAAGATATTAGCACAAATAGAAACATTATAAAGTTAGTTAATAGGTAAAGATAAAGTTAATTCATAGAAGACTATTGTAGATTGTTGATTGTTATGATTATGTAATTTTATAGTTCTATAGAGAGAGTTAGGATTGTTAAAATTGTTAATCTAAAACACTGACTTGCAAAAATAACAATGGTCCATATGGTGAGAAAATTAACCTATATGCAAGAGGTGATCTAAGAGATATGATGCTGTTACTACTACTCTCATGTATGTGTGTTTGTTTGTATGTTTGTTTAAAATTAATAAAAATTATTTAAAAAAAGAAGAAGAAAATCTCTCATAAAGCTCATAATAAGAAAGTAGAAGATATTTTTGCTCAGGATCCACTCCTTTATGCATCCAGGGGTCATTTCCTCTCGTTCTGCTTCTATATTTCAATACTTTTACGTACAGAAATCTTGTTGAGTTGCTGCCCATCGGAGTGAGTAGTGCTTGTTCAGATGAAGAAGGTCTGGTTTCTACCCACTCACAAGTTGGCCTCCGCCAGGCTGTTATTTTCTCACCTGAAATCCTCCACCTGCAATACGGGGACAGTGATGGTGGCCTACTCTGCAGGGTTCTTAAAGAAGTGCAATATGAGCCATACAAGGCATGATGATGAACTCTCAAAAGTGCCTCATAAACTGGCAAGAGACTTGGATCTGACACGGAACCACCCGATCTGGGCTCCCCTCTGGAAAGAGACTTTAGAAAATGGCTGGCCAGGAAAACCAGAGGAGGAGCAGCCAGGGCATTCTTCTCACTAACCTTTCCCCACGTCTTCCACAGAAAACAATAACAAGAGAAATCTGTCCCCTGAGCAAGCATTCAAGGGATTCTTACCCACAGAGGCCACCATCCCATAATTCTCCAGCATGACCTCCCTGTACAGCGCTCTCTGGCACGGATCCAGCAAGGCCCACTCCTCCGCGGTGAAGTATACGGCCACTTCCTCGAAAGACACCAGTCCCTGGAAGCAGAGAACAGTTTCCTTCCTGAAGAATCATGACAGGTGGGCTGTGTGTGAGTGTGTGACCAGGATCTTCCCCCCTCACACACTCAAGAAGATGTAGACCATGAGGATGTTTCCCAGCAAATTCACCATTTCAAGGGGGAAGACCAGAGGAGATCACACCAGCGACCTTTTGCAGCCCCACAAGTCAAAGACAACAGAGGAGTCCTCTAGAGGTTGGAACTGAGGAGGGGCCACCCAAACGGCCCCCTGTGGGCCCCCCTCCCACAGGAATCTTTCTCTTACCTGAGCTGGCTGCCTGGCTGCTGACTCCACCGCAACATAGGAAGGAGGCAATCCAGACATGCTCTCTGATGTCATTTCGCTGCCTGCCAGGGGAGAAAAGGTGGGCCAGTGATTTGCATCTTCCACATAGAG